AAAGTCCCTTCCAATCTATTTCATACAAGTCAATAATTTAGACATTGTTTAGAGAATAGATTACATAAAACTTTGGATTTTCATTCTTTAAGATATATAATCAAGACATTTTGTAATTAAATTATTAGTTTTCATTGTTATGTAATTGAGTTTCAACTTACTAAATGTATTGCACATATTTCACAAACTTGTTATTTATTCAGGATTACAAAAAGGAAGTTGATTTCTTCCTTTATATGAGAAAAAATTATAGATAAGATGAAGTAGATCTATTTGATCCATAATATCTCATATTACAAATAATTCCTCTTAAATTTTCAAATCAATAATTAGTTGAGTCGAAATCATTTCAATTTAACTCAAATGCAGTAGAATTGATAATTCAGAAATAATCCTTGAGAATTTAGAATTAAATTTGAATTTCTTTTATTGATTATCAAAAATCATCAAAATTTATAGCAGATATTGGATCCATTGATTCAATAATATTAGTTTTATCACATTTTGTTAATTAATAAATGAGTAAAACTAGAAAAGGGATGTGTTGAAAAGATAATTCGAATGTATTAACTAAGAAATAATTAATATCAAATTCTCATATAATTGGTATGGTAAAATTATTGATGTTTTATAAAATGGATTATCCACTCAACAATAATTAGTTGTTAAAATATTATTTGAGATTCAAAAAGTTGCTATTAAAAATCTTAACATATTAAATATAATTTAAACATAAGCAAAAATATAATTTTTAATTTAATCAACTTTAAATTAAAATTAGCTTTAATGTGCTCATAAGGTAGGATTTAAGGTTGAAATCATTTCCTAAAGTTTAAGATTAAATAAGTCTTGAAGAAATAATAGAAAGATGCCAATGGAACATATTTTGCTTCACATATCAATTCAACTGAGTAAAATGAAAACATTGGATCACATATTGGAAAGTATGTAATACCAATTGAATATTCAAAAATTATGTATTGTTAAAAGAACAAAATGAATACAATATTTTAAATGACGAAGACTTTCACTTATTCACAATGGATGAAACGATCTTTAATAATTTTGACTTAAAAAAATAGGAAATTATTTTGAGTAAAACTTTATAGAATTATGATAATATCATCATTAAACAATTTGTCTGCGGCAATCGTTTTCTTGCTAAAATGTTCTTTAATTTTCTAAAAATCTACCTGTGTTTTTAATTTTATTTAGCCTTAAAGTTGTAATACACTTATTTATTAGATATTGGTATTTATTGAATTATATAAAAATATTAGGAACGATGATCTGAATCTAATGAATAATCATTTAGTTAAATTTTTTTTTTTTGATTTTTAATAAAACTTTAAGTGGTTTTCTATAAAAATCTTTCTTTTTCATACCAATCCATAGTCTATATTTTCATCTTAATAAAAATAAGATAACGTAAAGCTAAAATTTTTCAAAAGAGTCAAAAAGTTTAGAATCCATTAATGAGGAGTTTGTAGATTTGCCTGCCATTTTGTACATCAAAAATAATAGTAATTAGTATCTGATGAATAACACCAATTATCAAAAATGGGCCTTCTTAAAAGATATAATACTTCATTAACCTATTATGATGTGATATCAATAAGAGAAAGTAAATATTATTACATATTGAGATATTATTTAGGATGATGGATTTCAAATTTCATTTTTTTATTAAGACTGATTTCTTTTAATTAAGATTCAATATATTACTTTAGGCCATAAGATAATTTCATTTATCAAGGTTGATGCTTTCTTGATGAGCTATATGACAATTATGATAATAAGGGGGATACTCTATTAAGACCCAGAATAAGATCACTTAATTATGATTAATGAAATGGAAAGGTTATATTCTAGCTGCCACATTATTCTTAATCAATATTGAATTCGTAAATAATTAAATTTGTTAGAAAACAGATACAACAACAAAATCAATCATAAGAGGAAATTATTAAGATGTATTAAATATGAATAGAGGAGGATTAATCTCAAGATCATAAATTTCTATTAGTAATACAGATAGTTGTTTACGAGATAATGCTTACATAGTATATGGAAATTTTGGATATACAGGGGGCCTGATTGGAGCTTCAATAATTATTGATTTATAACAAACTTATGAATTAAATACTTTTAAAATATGGTTTTATGATTTAGATGACAGATTGTACACAATTAGGGTTTATGTAATATACAATAATATTGAAAAAATTATTTATCAAAGTAGTCATGGATAATCAATAACCACTATTACATTTCCAGATTAGTAGGTTAAAAAATTCAAAATATTAAATGTAAATGGCAATACTTACAATATTGGACTCAACGTCCTCAAAGTAGAAGCCTACTTTAGAATCTAAAAAAATGTGTGAAATAAATTATAATAAATTTATGAAATATCCACATTTATTTGTTAAAAATTTTGTATAACAATCTTTTACTCACTTACAAAAATGTATAGATGAATTACTTTACCCATTCTATTAATCTTTTTCAATTTTCATGAAAACATTTAATAAATAAATATTTTAATTAATTGAGATAATAAACTCTATCCAAATGTCTTTTATTTGAAATATTTCATTTAATACTATTAGACTCATAACTAAATGGAACATTTAATTAAGACTATCTCATAAGAGAGTCGAGTTATATTCTGAAGAATCTTTGTTTTGATAGATAACAATAACTTGTCCAAAAACTTTGTAATAATATTGGGATTCATTCGAATTTTGATTTGACAATTAATTACTATTGTATTCTTCAAAAACACAAAAGTATATTCACATTATAAAATCAGTGGAAACAGAATTTTAATTTTGAATGGGTGAATAAATACTTATTATTTAAAACTAAAATTGAAGTAAAGGTATATTCGTCTTACCAAGTAACCAATTAGGAAATAATTTTTTGGATATACAATTACATCAATTTGAGTGAAGAATTACTTTAAGCGAAAGAAAAAAAAAGGGCAAAAACATTTTGTAAGGAAAGCACTC